GGGAGGGAGAAGAGAAGAGGGAGGGGAGGGAGGGAGGGGAGACAGCGAAGGGTGGGGAGGGAAGAGAGGGAGGGGAGGGAGCGGAGGGGAGGGAGCGGAGGGTGGGGGGAGGGGGGATTGCTGCGGAATGGATTGCAATCGATTGCGTTGCAACCGATTGGATTGCAATCGCTGGAGTTGTAACCGATTGGATTGCAATCGATTGGTTTCGAATCCACTCTCTCGATCGTCGATCGTCCATCCTGATCGTCGGTTGTTGATTTTGGATCGTCCGCGAAAGGGAGGTCGCGGGACCCAGGCGCTGGATGGGAAAAGGGGGGAGGGGGAGTCCAAGCCGCCCCCCCCCCCCCCCCCCTTGGAAAAGGGGGGGAGGGGGAAGGTAGCTTCCAGCAGGGCGGGTCCCAGGGGGGGGTAGCGAAGCCACCCCTCCCCCATTGGACAGGAGGGGAGTGGCTTAGCACCCCCTTTCCTTTTGAAAGAAAGGATGGAGGGGGAGGGTAGCTTCCAAGGCCCCCCCCCATTTGGAAAAAACGGGGGGAGGGGGGGTAGTTTCCAGCAGGGGCGGGTCCAGGGGGGGGTACACCCCCCCTCCCTTTGGAAAGGAGGGAGGGGGGTGGTAGCTTCCGGGGCGGCCAAAAGGGGGGAGGGGGGGGGAGCTTCCAAGTCCCCCCCTTTTCTGGAAAAAAAGGAAGGGGGGGCAGCTTCCAGCAGGGGGAGTCCAAAGAGGGAAAGGGGAGCTAAGCACCCCCCTCCCTTTGGAAACGGGAGGGGGGGTAACTTCCGGGGCGGCAAAAGGGGGGAGGGGGTGTAGCTTTCAAGATCCCCCCCGTTTGAAAAAAAGGAGGGAGGGGGGGGCTTCGACAAGGGCGGCTCAAGGGAGGAGGGGGGTAGCCTAAGCCAAGCCCCCCCCCTTTTGCTCGGTCGCTGTGGGCGCGCTCTCTCATATGTATGTTTGCCCCCTTGAGTTGCCACGTAACGAGTAAAAGTCAGATGGCCCCCAAGAGGCCCCCCAACGCCCCCAAAACGCCCCAATGAGGCTCCCAATGGGTCCCAAGAGGCTTCCAAGACGCGCCCGCCCACGAGAACAAACAAGAGGAGGCGGAGGAGGAGGAGGAGGAGGAGGAGGAGGAGAACGGGATATATTACGACCCAAGGAAACTAACGAAATTCAGGAAACGAAGGCACCAACCCAGGAGTACAAAGAGGAGACCCAGGAAAACCAAAGAGGCACAAACCCGGGATTTCGGAGCCTCCGATTCTGGGAAACACAGAAGGCGCGAACGATAGACACCAGGAGCGGTTGGCGAGGAGGGAGAGGGAAGAGGAGGACGTTCGGGATGAGGAGCAGGAACAGGAGCAGCAGGAGCACGAGCAGCAGGAGGAGGAGGAGGAGGAGGGAGGAGCAGGAGGAGGAAGGGGAGGACGTTCAGGAGGGGAGGAGGAGGAAGTGCAGGTGCAGCTGCAGGTGGAGGAGCGGGAGCAGGAGCAGGAGCAGCAGAAGGATGCGAAGCAGCAGGAGCAGAAGTTGGTGCACTTTGCGCGCAGCAGCCTTTTTCATGCCCGTGGGGCACTCTGGCGTCGGTTGGGGGCTCTCTTGTGCTGGCGTTGCTGCACTTTTGGTGGTATGGTGGTTGTCTGGAGACTGTGGAAGGGCCTTCGAAGGTCTCCGATCTCTGCTCTCCGCTTGTTCTCTCATCCATCAGATCTTCTGACAGGATCCGGGATCCTAGGTTTTCGCCTCGCCCTTGCAGCTGGTTCATGGTTTTGTTGTGTGGGTCGGCGTCCGACGAGGGGGGGAGTATTTCCGTTCCTGGCGGTTCGGCTGGGGCGCGGTCCAGGAAGGATTGTGGGGTTACAGTTTCGTTTCCATTGTTGTGCCCGCCTCGAAATTCTAGTCAGAGCGCGCTTCCGGGAAGGTCAGGCTGACGAGATCAGCGATAGTTGATTGATTATGGTGCGTGTTAATTTCTCTTTCCTCCTTGTCCTCTTCCTCTTCCTCTTCCTCGTTCTGCTGTTTCCGTTCCTCCTCGCTCTCTCTTTCTCTCTCTCTCTCTTTCTCTCTCTCAGTGGTATCTGGAGGTTTGCGAAGGTTTCAAGACGTCGAGAATTTGGGGGGGATCCCGTGGGGTCATGGCGTCGTCGTGGGGCTCCTTTGCGCTGGCTTTGCTGCGCGGCTGGCGGCCTGAAGGGCCTTCGAAGGCATCCGTTCTCTGCTCTCCGCTTGTTCTCTCATCCATCAGATCTTCTGGCGAGATCCGGGGCCGCAGGACGTCGCCTCGCCCCTGCAGCTGGCGCGCGGTTTCGTCGCACGGGCCGGTGCCCGACGAGGGGTGGGTCCCATTTCCGCCCCGGGCACTTCGGCTGGGGCGAGGCCCGGGAACGATGGTGGGAATACAGTCCCGTCTCCACGGCTGGACTCGCTTCGAAATCATAGTTAGTCAGAGCGCGCTTCCAGGAAGGTCGGGTTGACGAGATCAGAGGTATCTAATTCATTCAGGCGCGCGTTCCCGTCCTTTTTGTTCCCCTCGTCCTCCTCCTCGTTAACTATTGTTGCTGTTCCTTCTGTCTCTCTGTCAGTGGTCTCTGGAGGCTCCTGGAGGTCTCAGCACGTCGAAAAGCCACGGGAACCCCGCGGGGTCTTTTGTCGTCTCTCGTTGGGCTCCCATGCGCTGGCTGCGCCGCACCGTTGGCGGCGTGTCGGTCGTTTCGGGGCTGTAGGGGGTTGGCGGGAGCCTTTACAGGTATCCGCTCTCTGCTGTCCGCCTGTTCTCTCACAGTCAGATCTTCGGCGGGATGCGGGATCCTAAGTTTCGCCTCGCCCCCGCAACTGGCGCGTGGTTTCGTCACGCGGCCGGCGCCCCACGAGCCCTTCTTCCTCGGCATTCATGTCTCGGCAGTTCGGCTAGGGCGAGGTCCAGGAACGATCGTGGGAACACAGCTTCGTGTCGACGGTTGGACTCGCTTCGGAATTCTAGGAAGGGCGCGTTTCTGGAAAAGTCGGGCTGACGAGATCAGAGCGGTTTGATTAATTCGGGCCCGTGCCCCTCTCTTTGTTCCTCTGTTCCCTCCTGTCGTTCTTCTCTTCTCTTCTTAATTCCCTTCCTTGTTCTTCGGTTCCTTTTCCTCCTCTCTCCCCCCTCGGTCTCTGGGGGCTTCCGGAGGTCTCGGGGCGTGGAGGATCCAGGATGATCCCGCGGGGCATTCTGGCGTCGTCTTGGAGTTCTCTTGCGCGGGCCAGCGTCCTACGAGGGGCTTGGCCACTTCCTTTTCTCGGCGGTTCAGCTAGTGAGGGCAAGGTTCGGGAACAATCGTGGGAATACAGTCTCGTCTCCACGGCTGGACTGGCTTCGAAGTCCCAGTGAGAGCCCGCTTCTGTGAAGGTCAGGTTGACGAGCTGAGCGATCCTTAATATCCCCTCTTCCTTTTCCTTCCCACATTCTTCCTTTGGTTATCCTCCTCTCTCTCTCTCTCTCTCTCGAGGATCCAGGAGGATCCCTTGGGCCAGGGGCACTCTGGCGTCACGTTGGGGCTCTCTTGCACCGGCTTCGCAGCACTGTTGACGTCGCCTTTGCTGTCGCGGGTTTGTCGAGGGTTTTTACAGGTATCCGTTCTTTGCTCTCCGCTTGTTCTCTCATCTTCCAGATCTGATCTTCTCTTGGGATCCAGGGTCGTAGGACTTCGCTTCGCCCCTGCCGCTAGCGCATGGTTTCGTCGCGCGGGCCAGCGTCCGACGAGGTGGGACACCATCTCCGTTCCCGGCGGTTTTGCAAGGGCGAGGTCCATGAAGGATGTCCTCTCTCTCTCTCTCCCTCTCGTTGGTCTCTGGAGGCTTCGGAGGTTTCAAGAAGATCCCGCGGGCCACTCTGGCGTCGCGTTGGGGCTCTCTTGCGCTGGCTGCGCTGACTGCGCTGCGCTGTTGGCGGCGTGGTGGTTGTCGCGGGGCTGTCGAAGGGCTCTGGTCCCCTCGTTCCGCTTGTTCTTCGGATCTCCCAGCGGGAGCAGGGATCGCATGTTTTGCCGCTTCCTTGCAGATGGCGCGCGGTTTCGTTTCGCGGGCCGGCTTCCGACAGGGGGGGGGGGGGGGGGGCGATTCCTTTCCTGGCGGTTCGGATAGGTCGATTTGGGACTGCAGTCTCGTCTAGTCTCGTCTCCACGGTTGGACCCGCTTCGGTATCCGAGTCAAAGCGCACCTCCAGGAAGGGCAGGATAACGAGCTGAGCGATATTTGATTGATTTAGACTCGTGTTCCTCTGGTTTATATGCCTCCTCTTCCTCTTACTCTTTATGTTGTTATGTGCTTCCTCGGTCGCTCTCAATTATCTCTGGAGGCTTCCGCAGGTGTCAGGGCGTCGAGAATCCAGGGGTATCCCGTGGGGCATTCCGGCGGTCGTGGCCTACCCAGGAAGACGAGGGGGAGAGCGCCAAGAAGGAACAGGAGGAGCAGCCCAGCGTGGGAGGAGGAGAAAAAGGAGATGGAGGAGGTGGTGGTGGTGGTGGAAGAAAAAGAGGAGAATGAGGTCAAGGAGGATGAGGAGGATAAGAAAGAGATGGAGGAGGGGGAGGGGCAGGAGGAGGAGGAGGAGGAGGAGGAAGAGGCGAGGGAAGCCCACCCGCAGGGTCAGTAGCAGAAAGGGGGGACAAGGGTAATGATGTGTAGGGGGGAGAGTCAGCACGGTTGGAAGACTGCGTGCTGACGTACTGAGACTCGGGAGTTTGAGGAGGAGGAGGAGGAGGAGGAGGAGCAGGAGGAGGATACAGGAACAGAAACAGGTCGACGACGACGACGACGACGACGACGACGAAGGGGAGGAGGTGGAGGGGGGAGGAAGAGAGGAGGTAGGAAGCGAGGAGGAGGAGGAGGAGGAGGAGGAGGAAGGGGATGGGACGAGAGAGGAGGAGGAGGAGGTAAGAGAAGAAGACGAGGAGGAAAGAAGAGTATGAGGAGAGAGAGAGAGAGAGAAGAGAGAGAAGGGGAGAGAGAGGCTCGATTCCGCCCCCAGGCTGCCGGAGCTCAGGAGGATTGCCCCCGAGTTCTACGACAACCTCGCCGTGTGCGAGTCGTGGATCGGAGTGATATGGGACTACATCATGCGCGACGACATGGGCCTGCCACTCAGCGCGAGAAAGGAAGGAGGGGGATCGAGCATAGAGTTGATTGGGCGATTTGGCAATGTGTTGCGCCTCCGGAGGCCTCGGGTACCTCCATATGACGGGGCCAGTCGCCTATTTCATTTTTTGTGCAGACAGAGTTTCGTCGTATTCCTAAATTCTGGTCGTCCGTGGCACTTCCTTTCTGGCAGGGACTAGTCAAGATGACGTGGCAGCCACCTGACGGCAGGGAAATTGGCGGCGTAATGACCCGACGAAGTCATTATTACCGAGGACGCCGGCGGCGCATGACCATCCGTTCCCTGGGAGTTTTGCGAAGTGGCGCGCAGCATCGAGAGTCGTGACACAGCGCGCATGCCAGCTGTCCTGGCCGAGAGGTTGTAAGTCAGAGATCTCTTGGATACCTGTGGGGATGGAAGACTTTTCGGAAGTCTCCTGGAGGCGGTTTTCGAGATGTCTCGGGGCCTCTTGAAAGCCTCCTGGGACTTGATTTGGCCCTCTTGGGGGCCTCCAGGGGCTTTGGGGGGCGGCCCTTGAGGGCCTCATCGCGGCCTCGGCGTCGGGTGTCATCTTGGGGAGGAGTGCGAGAAATGTCACTTCGAGTTCCCCCTTTCGGGGCCGTCTTGGACCGTTTGGGAGACCTCTTGGGCCCTTCTTGGGCCGTCTGGGGGGCTCCCTTGAGGGCCTCTTGGGTTGTCTTGGGGCGATCTTGGTTCGCCTGGGGGCCTTCCTGGGCCGCCTTCCTGGGCCGCTTCGAGTCTTGAGTCCGGGGTGGGGGCTGCGAGAGACCGCCGACAGAGTGGCGCCCCACCAGAGGGACTTCAGGGAGGTTTTAACCAGGCTCTGGCGAATCCTGCCAGGCACTCTGACAGAGTGGTCGTACACGGCCGAACCCGCAGGCGGGAGCGGCCTGATATGAAGGGCGCCCTCTGCCGGCGGCCCCCCTTTCTGATTGCTTATGCAGCCATGCTTGATCGGAAGATTGGTTTGTCTTCTTGTCGGTCGGCTGGCGGGCACTTCGGTTGGTGGGTGTGTTGTCTAAAATGATGGTTGGCTTTGTTTTATTTGGGCTGCTGGCTGGCTGACTGGTTGCGTGCGTCTGTAATACTTGATGTGAGATGGTGGCCTCGCTAGCGCGCTTCCATCAGAATTTACAAGGGTTTGCGGCTTCGGAGATACAGTGGAACTCTCAGGCTGGCAGGGGCCGAAAAGCGGCCCCCAACACATATCCCAATCTAAAAAGCACATGTTGTTGCTCTAGGGACGGGGTGGCACTCTTTGGCAGCCTCCGCGGGATGGGTTCGAGGCATCGGCAACGCAAGCGCGTTGGTTGTTTGTTCGTAGGGGTTATGGCCTCGGGAGCGCGGTTTCACAGCAAGTGACTAGGGATTGTGGCCTGACTCCGGGGCGCGAATCTGCTTAACTTATGAGAGGTTGTGGCTTCGGGAACGCGAGAGCGCCGCGATGTACAACGTATCTAGATGCATTCATGTATACATACATACGTACAAACATACCTGCCTGTTTGCCTGCCTGCCTGCCTACCTACCTATATACATGCATACATATATTCATCATATGTAGAATGGCATCGGGAGCGCGAGCCCACTATACTTGTAAAGGCATTACGGCTGATGCCGCCGACCCGGAATACGAGACTTCTTTTGTAACGTTCGCTTGCGCCCTTGCTTGGGTCCCGCTAAAACCTCAGGGCGGCATGGCATTGTGACCGATTTATCCCTCCATCCACCACTTCTGTACATTTTGGGCCTCGGGGGAGGGGGGCCTCCCAAGGTTTGACACGCTGTGCCTCTAAGTCCTCGTGGGCTTGCGGATGCGTTCCTACGGGCCCTACCGGAGGAGCACGGGTGGGATGAGCAGCTCTTTGGCCGTCCTGGAGGCCACCTTGGAACATTTTGGGCGAACTTGGTGCCAGTTTTGCCCATCTTGACCGTCTGGGGGGCCATCTAGGGCAGAGGTTTGTGAGCCCCTCCCCAGGACCCCCCCCCAGGACCCCCCCCAGGACCTTCCCTCCGACTCAACTACGACGTTGCTCAATTTCGCTTTGGTTCCGCGTTGACGGGCTCGCTTGAGGAAGAGGGCCCAGTGACATGAGGGGGAGCGGCGACGGGCCAAGGGAAGCAAACGCGACGACGACGACAAGAACGACGACGACGAGGAGGAGGAGGAGGAGGAAAACCCTCCTGGGTCGTCTTTGGGGCCTCTTGGGGCACTCTTAGTCCGTTTAGGAAGTTTTGTGAACCCCCAGACTCTGGAGGGGAATGGCATTCTGACCCGGGTCCCCCCCCCGACCCCCCCCAACAGCCCCCCCCCCCCCGGACCTCTCCCATGACATCCCAGGACACCACCTGGGACACTCCCCTGGAGGGGGAAGGGATCGAATGGAAGGGGCTTCCCTTCGACTCAACTACGACGTTGCTCAACTTCGCTTTAGTTTTGCGTTGGCTGGCTCGTTTGAGGAGGGCCCAGTGAAA